TGTAAAAGATCTCCAGGAAGCGTTATTGTATTGTATTCCCTTTTGTGTGGCTCCATCTAGTGGATGCATAGCGCAACCGCAGCCACTAATGTAGCTTCAATTCGATGCGCCGTCGATAGAAAAACAGTTAAAATAGGCCATTCATTGACGGTGCGCCATATCGTGCGAAAAATACAGGAATTTATTTGCGCCATTTTGCGCCGGACGACTGATGTGCCGTAAAAAAAAAAAAAAAAAAAAAAAAGTGCAGCAAATGGAGTGATGTGCAAGCATCGATTTAAAAAAAAAAAAAGCAGCACCCGAATAAATCTGGCTAACAGTCCAGTTTCCCTAGATTGTTTGTTTGTGTAAAAACAATTAGAAAGTCGACAGACGAGGGGAAAAAATGTCAGAATTAGATTTTGATGATATTTTCGAAGGAGACCCTTCTTCAACGGAAGAGAAGTTGTCCTCCTACACTCCTCACTTAGTTATAGCGCAGTAAGCGCTTATGTTTGTTTAATGTGTTATCTCACTTATTTTTATATTGTACAGATTTAGCATGAGAAATGAACATCTATTTATATATCATCAATTGTCAATAGAATTTGGAGGCTGGAACAGATTCATTGCATTCCCCGTTCATTTCAGTTCCTCGGAGGCTTTGATGATCCCCGGGTCTGATTTCCACGATTTGCCAAAATTGTAGAAGAGAGCCAGCGTGTTGATGAGGAACGGCACGTGGACCGTGGCGAAAGGGAGATGTGCGCGGGCGAGGTTAAGGAACGCAGCCGACGCTCACGTGTCATCGCCAACCCCGAGCGGACAGTATGGTGATTTTATAAAGCGCTAAAAAAGACCAAACCAATTTAAACGCGACAAGGTGAGCGCACGTGAGACTCAAACCACCGTATAATCCGATGCGCCTTATATATGGCGGCGCAGTCTCTTTATAGTCCCCGTTGAGTTGTTTCCCTGTTAGCGCTCCTATGCCATCTAGTGGTGAGTATGAGCAAGAACCAATCAGAATGTAAGCGCATTCGCCAACACACACACAGACTTTGCGAGCTCTGCGCATCCATTACGAAACGAAGATAACACCAAAAGCAGAGTTAACTACTGACTAAATGACGGAAGAAGGAGACAAGCAAAACTTCTCCGGATATTTCGTCCCTTGGTTAAAATTCTTCTTATTATAGTGAACACAGTAAGATTTTTTTTTTTTAACATCTACATTTGGCAATAGTTCATAATATGAATATTATATTGGTATTATTTCCAGATTTTTTTCTTCAAAAAAAAAAAGACATTTTCGAACATTTGAAAACAATTATGAATTACCGACAATCATTATAAATAACACAAATAATGATTTCAATGTTAAAATGATTTTTTTCCCCTCCAAATTCACAAATGACTTGGCTCATCTGTGCCCGAAGTCCCAACGTTCTTTTCATCAAGCGCAGGTCAAAGGGATCCGCGCCCGCCCGCCCGGCCACCCGCCCGCCTTACTTGTGCAGCAATGAAGCATGTGATTCAATGCCCTCCCCTCCTTCAATTAGCAGCTTCCAAACAGAACCGCAATTCTTCCCTGAACAGAATAAAAAAAAGTTCCAACAAGCTCATTTGCGCGCACATTGATTGGACACTCTGCTTTGCCATCCATCCCGATTCATGTTTTTTTTTTTTTTTTTTGGGGTGACTCTTTTAAAAGAAATGGATTAAAACTCAATCCCCAGCTCAGATTGGTTTGTGTTCTAAATTAAAAACGAAAGTGAGGGGCAAAAGCAGTCAAATCGCTCTCGTTTGCCAACCTCCTTGTTTCTGTCAGATTTACTGGAAGGACGAACGAGCTTTAATTCCACATCCCCCCCCCTATAATTAGACAAGTGGACTGCCGTCTGGTGGACATCCGAGCCATCTGTCAATACGACACGTTGGCGCGGGTTCGCTAACATCACCTGACCTCAGAAAGGAATACGGAGGAATGCGCCTGTTTTGTTTTTGGGTTGTTTTTTTTTTTTTTCGCCCCACACAAATGCCCAAAAAAAGGATATCATTCCAGAACCAGTAGAACCAGGTTGTATACATCCAAAACTTTGTTGCCAGGTAGATTCCCAGAGGGAGAGCGCTATGCATGGAGTGGTCAAAAAAAGCCCTGGAAGCACAAAACAGACGGCGGGGACGTTTTAACCAGAAAGTGTGAAACGGTCCCACTTGAAATATGAAATATGAAACATGCTCCCGACTGGACTTACTTGGAAAGAAACTGCACGGCCACCCAGACGCCCACGTACATGAGACCCTTGATGAGCCAAGAGTCGATATCCAGGTCGGCGATGAAGCCCACCAGCCAGATGACCAGGAAGGGCGTCCCCAGCATCACCTTCTGTCTGACCTCCTGAGGGGCGGAGACACGCGTCGTCAAATGTGACTCGTGACCGACGGCTCACAGTCACTCGTCTCCGGCCACGCCCACCTTGTCCGTTTTGAGTCTCTTCAAGTAGGACGGGCTGTCGTAGCCTTTGGCTTGCCGCGCTTCCTGCAAGTGGTTGATCATCCACACGTTCTTCCGCTGCTTGGCGAGATCCAGCGGCGTTTCACCCTTAAAGCACAAGAAAAAAAATAAATAAATAAAGATACAATCTGTCGAGCCAGCGTGAGAACAGCAAGCCGCGAGTTTGCGGGATTTTACTACCTTGATGTTCTGCGCGTCGACGTTGGCGTTGGCGTCCAGCAGCAGGCTGATGACGGTGGTGTTGCCGGCCAGCACAGCCCAGTGCAGCGCCGTGTTCTTGTGGTATTTGTCGCCCAGGTTCACCGACACGTTGAAGGTGAGCAGCAGCCGGGTGGGGTCCACGCTGTCGCCAGAACGAGACAATGAAAGCGCGACCATTGCACTGCACTCCGATTTTTTTTTTTTTTTTTTGGACGACAGTCCTGACAAACGCGACGTGTGCGTTTACGCACCTGTGCGTCCTGTACGCCGCCCACATGAGGGGAGTCATGCCATTCTGGTCCATCATGTCCACGTCCTGTCGTGCATGCAACGCAAGCCAATTAGATGGGACGGCGCGTGACGGGTTGTGAAGAGCACAATCAAGCCTATTGACGAAGACGCGTCAGAAATCAAAGTGACGTGGCACCAAAATAAATAAATGTCGAATAACGACTCAAATGCAGACGAAGTCAACTTAAGTTACCGTATTTTCCGCACTATAAGGCGCCACGGAGTATAACGCGCACCTTCAATGAAACTGTTTTTATAAGGCGCATGGAATAGAAGACACAATATCGGTTGCAGTTGCGTTATGCAGCCACTAGATGGAGCTACGCCAAAGGGAATACAATACAATACGATACAACTTGACTTATATGGAGCTTTCACAAGCGCTGCAGCTGTAACAAAGCGCTTTACGGAACATTTTAAAATTCTACAGTCAAACCTTGGTTTTCGAACGTCTCTGTTCTCGACCAAATCGGTTTTCGACCAAAAATGTCGAATTTTTTATGCCCCGGATTACGACCGAAAATCGGTTCTCGAGCAAACTGAGCGCACTTGAATGCGCCACTTGACTCCTCTCGCCTCTCCTCACACGAGGAAGTGACGCTTCCTCTTGTAGCGTTCTATTGTGAGCGGACGTGTTCAATAAAGATTTTTTTTTTTTTGTAACCCTTGTGTTACAATTTCTACTATTTTCGTAACACATGGATTACCCCATATGTTACAATTTCTATAATTTTTGTAGATTCTTGCGTATTGTCATCTTTAAATCAAAGACAAAGCATAAATTTGTGTGATATGAAATATGGAATGCTTTCAGGTGCGCCTTAGAAGGCAATGATTCAAAGTTCCTGAACTCATTCAGTACCAGCCAATCCTAGACCAAGTCTGAAAAGACGTTTAAAAACGTCTTTGGGAGTGAATGAGTTAAAAGCGCCACTAGAGGGAGCCGGGCAGTTTTCCGAATCACAGATGGGAGAGTTGTTCATAAAGATCGTCCCCGCGTTTATGACACGTGGGGAGATCTGTCGTATTATCCACGTCTGACCTGTCCCTTGGCGATAAGGTAGGCGACAATGGAGGTGTGGCCGAACTGGGCGGCCAAGTGGACGCAGCTGCAACCCTCGCCGTCGATCAAGGACGGGTCGGCGCCGTATTTCATCAGCTGCACCACCATGGATAGGTGGCCTTGTCTGGAAGAGAAGACGCAATAACATTTATTTCCCCGGAGAACAGAAAAGTGAGATGGATGGATGGATAGGTTTTTTTTTTTTCCCCTCGCTGGAGTCCTAGAAAAGACCAAGAAGAAAACTACGGGGTGTTTTAAAGGTCAATGCAAGGTGGGGGGACAGGCTATCAATAATGCAGGAGCAAAGACGTCACACCAAACGGTCGCAGAAGGTACCTGGTGGCCCAGTGTAGCGGTGTGGAGTTGAGGTCTCCTCCCAGCTGGTCCACGATGGCACCCTTCGATATGTAGTACCTGTGATAAAGCATTATTAGCGCCTCTGCCATTCCCAGAAAGAAACCCAGAAAAAGACTCACTTGACCAAGTCGACCCTGTTGTTAATGGCGGCCCAGTGGAGGAGGGTCACGTTTTCTTTGTCCGGCTGCCGGACGTCGAACCCGGCTTCCACCAGCTCCCTGCATCGCTCGAAGATGCCGTACCTGCGGAGGAGACGACGTCATACGACGGTGAATTTGCGAAACCGTTCCAATTGCGTCCAAAACGTTTCACTGGGGGGCAAGGGGGGGGCTCACTGCGTGGCTTTCACGATGTCCCACGTGCTGTAGTCGTCCACGTGGTTCTTGCGGCTGACGGTCTCGCTGTAGCCGTGATTGAAGTGGCTCTGAGGCTTGATTTCCTACAGGGCGAAGAGCAACTGAGGTCAGGTTTTCTCTTTTTTTCTTTTTGGTGGCAGCGCCTCATTAGCGGGTACAGTTCAGAAATGAGTACACCAAGAGGACGGCAGAACAGGACAACGCCGGCTAATCTAGCCTTGCGCCGGAAGATCTAATGTGCCGCACGGCACGTGCGGCATCTGCGCTCACTTCTCACATTCAATTAGCCTCCACGGTAACGCCGGCAGAACCGTCTGTTCGCCTCGACGGGCCTGGGAAACGCAGGCCGCGTGTGCTTCTTGCAAACAGTGGGTATCACATACAGTAGCATCGTGTACTGAAATTCAAAATAGCACCATGCTGTCATTTTGAAGAAATATCACTTTCACCCCTGACATCACTCTCCCGTGGTAATACCTTGTCAACCCCACTCCCACCAATTAAAAAGGCATTTGTCACTGCAGCGTAAAGTGCAATGAGCCTCTCCGTTTTTTTTTTTTTTTTAAACCCGATCACAATGAAGTGTTCTTCCATTTTAGAACTACGTTGATTAGGGTGGGGTCTAGGGTCGTTACATGCTTTGTGTGGGGGGGTTAAACAAAATTATAATCTTGCCATTACAGCTCACGTGACCTAACTCAAGTTTGCCACGACCTAAATTTGAATGCAAACAAACAAGTGCAGTTTTCTGACAGCCAATTCGTTCGTCTGTTGGTGAGTAATGCGCCTACAGAAGGCTTGGTTCGATTCTCTTGTCCCAGTTCGCCTTCTCTCTCTCTTTCACTTCCCTTTTACTTCATTATCGCACCAGTGCTTGTTCCACTCCTCATCTAAGGGCAACATGACATTCACAGTCAATTGAAAGTAGTCTTGTTTTCTGTTTACAAATGTACTGTAACATGATATGCACTCTTTTATGTCTACATATTGTTTGGATGTGAATTGTGCTCCGCTTTCTTGGTCAGACCACTCGTGAAAAAGAGACCTCTGTATGTCTCAATGTTTTATTTTCTGTGTTTTAAAAAAATAGGGTTCGATTGATTGACGAGCCAGTGCTAAGTCATTGCAACCTTTTCAACAGGCTCGTTGAATACCCCCTTCTAATGGGGCCGCTAACTTGTTTAAAATTTACTAAAGCCAGGCAATAAGCTCCCAAGACAGCTCAAATAACACCATGACTTAGTCTTTGTTGTCGAAAAAAAAAAATTTTTAAATAGGAATGAGCAGTAAACAGATTGATGTACACTCTCAGCGATGGGAATGGTGAGTTTAAGCGCAAGGAGTTTATAAGACGACATCCGTTGTAAAACAATAATATTAATAATAAGTGAATGTTCAGAACAGCTTCTGTAATACAGGGTGGCGATTTTGATGTCCGACACATTTCTACCGGCTACTCCTGCCCATGCAGCTCCCCAGCCGCCTGAAAAGGGGGGGGGGTGGGGGGGGGGGGGGGGGGGGGGGGGGGGGGGGGGGGGGGGGGGGGGGTACCGTTAGCGCATTTAGCATCGTTAGCAGCCTGACATCCCCCCCACTAGTGGTAATGCAGGGGGCATTGGCTCTCCCAAGGAAATAAACAGGATGAAATACAAAGAACATCCAGGCCGATGCCCCAAATTTGGTTTAAGGTGCGTCATGCACAAGCGCCCAAACGACGGGTTGTATAAAACGTACCTCTGGATGGAGAATAGGGACGCAGCCAGCTTCTTTCTCATACTCCTCCATGACATCGGCCATCTTGGTGGTGATGCCCGCAGTGCATTGTGGGAAAAGGGAGACTGCGAAGAGGGCAAGGGGTGGGGGGTTCAAGAGGGCGGAGTTGTCAAAACTACAAATAAATTGTTAAATTCGTGTTATTTAAATCTACTATTACGTCTTATTTAACACCGATATTAATTATCATACACTGTATTAATCCCTCCCTGATATTGCCAATATTGTGGGAAGCTCAGACCACGTAATGAAGAAATAATGCCACTAGATGTCGCCGTTATCCCACTAGATTACTATTGTCAGTTGAGCAATCGTATAAAATAAAACACAAAAGCATGTAGCGTGGTTATTTTTATTTTAGTTATTTTACCGAAATTGTGCAAAACTACAGTTATTTTAAATCACTTCAAAATATTAAATAGACGGTAATCCTGATATCACGTGATTGGATCACACTGCGTCAAAACCGTGACCCGCAAGAAAATATCAACGACTTTTTAAATGTATTTTTTTAAACTAAAATGAACTAATTGAGTTGGTATTAATATAGCCAGTTAAATCAAATCATCAGCAAAAAGGGAGGGCTTCGGATACTGTCTTCAAGTTCCGTAAATAGGAAGCAGACACCGGATACAAAATATTTACATTTCAAAATAAACCTGTAAAACGAAGAAATACTGTTAAGAAAACCCGAATGTTGTGTTAGAAAATAGTAACATTGGTCTCTTTTTCATTACACTTGGGTAAAATTGAAATTATAGACAAAGGGGTTAATGTGGAATCCAAATTCACGATCAGTTTTGTCATTTAGCTTTAATATTGAAACTAAATATTCGGAACTCGTAAAATGTATTTTCATTCGAGCCCTGTCCGGAATCTGACACGTCCGAGCCGGTGTAGCAGCCGTTTGCAAGTTGTCCAGATGTTTCTTTCCCGTTTCTTAACATAAATTGTATGTTTTACACTTGTATTTTTTTTTACCATGTATTAAAAAGTGATAAATTGGACCGCGCTGAAGTGTAAGTGATGATGACTGCGCTCGCTCAGGAATATGAAACGTCGGCTAAATAGTTAGCACTCGTCAGATAAACCGTCCCTGAACAAGACGCGGATATAAGAAGCATTTTCATATGAGCCATTTTTGCCACGGGTGAGTACCAGAGCTGTCAAATAACGCACAATTGCTCGTGGGTTTTCAAGCAGCTGTCACAGAAAAAAAGGCAGCTAGCTGTGCTAATGTTGACGCGGGAGTCACCTCTGCAGAAAACGAGCAGACTGTACGATTATGTAATAATCGAGGGAACGTAAACCCCGCATCAATCTGTCTGCAAGGGGACATTTGGTTGACAGATACTTTCCCTGCATTCACCTGACTCCCCCCCCGCGCACAATGCAGTCCTGCTGCACCCCTGGTGCTATGTTACCACTTTCCCTTGTCTGGAGCAGCAAGAGGAGAGCAGCCTGCAAATGCAACACACGCAAAGCCTCTCAGCGATGAATTGAGGTCATCTGGCGCATCACGAAAGCCTACGCATCGAGATAAAATGTTAAATATATGATAGGCAAGTGGTACTCGAACGTTTTTTTTTTTTAGTTTTCCATCGAGTACCTGTGTTTTGGAATGGTACCCTTATTTCCTTAGGTAAATCAACTGGGAGACCATATTGTGGCGCTAAGTTTCGTACACTCCATGCGCTCTTTCCACTTCACCCACACATTTGCCTAGTTGATGAGTGGTTCTTCATGACTTTCCAAACCAAATATAAGCGTTGAGAGGCAACTTGCACATTTGCCTGGCAAATGGAGCTTCCATTCTCTACCCTTCTCGAGCGGTGCTTTTGTCTTATAATAGCCAAGAAAATATGTCAACCGATAAGAGTCGTAATGGTACCCGTATTTGGTTTTTATAATTCTCTGCTCTGAAGTGTTTTTGGTGCAATGTTTTGCCATTTATATGGAATTATAAGCCCCTTTTGGGGATGGGGTGGTCATGAATTTATGACTGGCAAATAGTGGGGATTCGCCGTTTTTTTTGTTGTTGTTGTTGTTGCAAAACCTGCACTTTGTCATCAGAGGTGATGATGACAGTCACATTGTCGTGACGTGTCAGGCTATTTCCACTTGGGGAAGTTGAAATGAGGACATGATCTCAATTTCCTCATGACACTGTACGAAATGTCCAGACGTTTGAAAAAAAGAACGGAGTGAGGTTCCATCGGCTGGTAAAGTTAGCTCACCAGTATAGACAAATACTTGGCCGGTTTTACCGTTGACATTGATCTATATTTTTTTTCTCCCATGCTAGTGGATGGAGTTTTTTTCTTACAATATTTAAGCTCAGTGCTAATGTTCAAACTGCGCTTCCGATAATATGAAACGTTATTTTTAAGGCTAAAGTTTGAGCCTAACAATGCTACTGAATGTTGATCGTGGTGGTTGGGCGCGCTCTCCTGCTTGTCTCCTGCAGACACTGGCAGGCCTGCAGCGCCAGCCTACATTTTATAGGAGGCGGGCGAAAATATGGTGATGTCATCTTCAATGTCTCTCTCCCCCTCACTCTCTCTCTCATTTTCTCTCCCCCTCTCTCTCTCTCTGTATATTTTCCTCCTTCCAGGGTCTGTGTTGTGAATATTATGGTGCTTCTGCTGCCCAAGCTGCATGAGGTAGGTTTCCATCACTCCTCTTGCACACGTGCATGCTGCGTTTAATATTCTGGCATGTACGTGATAGAATCCATATGTTGTTTGGATAGAATCCCTTTTTGAAGGAAATAACTCCACAGTTTTGTGTTGCACGCCTGCTAACAAACGCTAATGCGAGCTGACCGAATTCCTGAGTCGGACACGTTACCTGAGCGGAGACCTTTACACCTTTCACCTTGAAGCATTTTGAGTAGGAAAGGCGGTACGTTTTTAAGGCGGAACGTGCCAACATCTGTTGGCACCTGCGCTCGCTCTCTCGCACTCTCTTCTGGTGTTATGTAAGAGGTTTCGCTCTCTTGCACACACACTCACACACATAAAAACAGTCCAATCAGGCAACAACAGATTTTCATAGCACATCTCCGTAGTAGCTGCGTCCTCGAAATACTGTATCCACGGTCACGGCTAAAAAAGCCGCGGCATTGTTTCGCGACTAAGAGGATTTTGAGCACGCGTTTGAGGTCATCGCAGTCTCCTTGACACCTCGCGGGGGTTCAGTCCTTCGGTCCTTGTCATCCGGCTCATCAGCATTCCCGTCCGCATGTGGCTCCGGCGGATTGGATGGCTGGAGAGTGTTGCTCTCTCCTTCCCTCATTTGGCAAATACTGTCCAGATGAAAACTGCAATGCATCTCTTTAAAACGCTAAAATGATTTCCTTCGATGTGTAATTAATATTACAGTGAGATCCATTGTTGCAATAGTTAAAAATGCCCGGTAATTTAATTGATGGTCATTTTATCTTCCGCCGCATCACAAACTGTTTCTCCGTTGTCAGCGACAAAATATTGTCACGTCTCTGCCAAATATCACACTATCGTGATTATAAACAGCGCTTCTGAACAGTTCACAGTCAAGGTATGAATGTGAGTTTGGTTATTTGTCAATGTGTTTGTCAAACTAGTTCATCGCGAATCATCAATGTATCGAGGACCAGTGATCCCAAATGCACCCGTCCCTATTTCATCCATAATTCACGTTGTACCGATTGATTCGTTTGCCCTGAAATGAAGCTTCATTTGACATCGTTGGCCTATTCGTCAGTCCTCTCCCGATTGTTTCGTTTGCCCTGAAATGAAGCTTCGTTTGACATCGTTGGCCTATTCGTCAGTCCTCTCTCGATTGTTTCGTTTGCCCTGAAATGAAGCTTCGTTTGATATCGTTGGCCTTCCATCGGTCCCCCCCGCCCCCTCGCATTGTTGATTAATAGTCTCCCTTCCCTGACCTACATGGACTGTTGCATTTGCCATCTATCAAACACGAACCAAACTGGGACGGCCACATGATTGAATTGGACCAACCAACGTAAATTGCTTTTCGCCCGCTTCTCATGTTCCCCCCCCCCCCCTGCTCCTCTCAACGTGATACATAATTTGGAGAAAGAATAAAGTCTATCAAGCTTTTGATGTAGGCGCGGAGAGCGTGTGTTATTTATTTTTTTCCTCCCTCCTCCCACCTGTACGGCTGCCATTCTGTTCTGAGTCATGGACTGATTGCTGAAGCATCTGTTTTAGTGTGACAGGTCCTTGGGATAGAATGCCGCATAAGCGTTGCGTGTGTGTGTGTGTGTGTGTGTGTGTGTGTGTGTGTGTGTGCGTGCGTGCGTGCGTGTGTGTGTTGGCGTATGACTATCAGAGCACGCGAGGTGTTTTATTTTATTTTTTTAGTCAGTTGACTTGGTGAATGTTTAATGGCCGTCGTCGCGAAAGTATTTGTTACAGTTGGAGACAAAAATCCAATCCACTGTTACGTTACACAATACTATAGGCGCTCATATCTTCGGGTGTCAACGAGTCATCTCATGGCGGTAAACTAAAACGAATGGTGCGAAGTGGATTGTGTAATTGCCTGTGATACGGAATTCCAGGTGTGCGATGCCCTGAAGCCAAAAGACATGCTGGCGGAATATCACTTTTCTTCGTGGGATTGTGGAGTCCTCCTCCGTTATTTTAGGTTCATGAAACACGGAGAGAGGAGGAGGAGGATCTAAGCCACGGCTAAATGGATATTTTTGCACTTGGTGAAGTTTTTCCTGCGGGGCGGTTTGTACTTCTTCAGGACGTGGCAGTGATAAAAACTGTTTTATTCTACAAAAAGTTTTTTTTGTAGAATGATTGAAGTGCTTGTTTGTGCAATGTTTGAGTCGTTTCATCGTGTGTCCTGTTTGTATTATTTCGACCCAAATAAGTCATGTGGGGGAGGAGCATTGAGAAGACGTATACTTTTGATGCTTCAGTTCACAGGAAGTCTCCGATGCGCTATCAATGTTGGGTCTCGATGCTGAGGCAGCACTGGTTAGTTAAGCCAAGATGTCACCCACAAGATCACTTGATTGCACCTTCCTCTGTCATTTTCCCAAGACCAAAAATAACTGTCACCAGCATATATGTTACAAGAGGGCAGATCATTTATGTTCAAGCTGAACAGAGTTGGACCCAGTACAGAGCCCTGAAGGACTCCTGTTAATATTTTTTGACACATTTATGAGTGTCAAAAAAAGAGCAAGGAAGACAGAAAGACATCCTCATCCTATCCATCCCATTTCCTATACCGTCTCATGGTCATTAGGGTGGCAGGCGATCGTCCCATCCCTTGAAACAATCACCAAAAGTGATTGCCTGACTTCACATGATTCCTCAGGAATGTATTCTGAGCTTGCTCATATTACTTAGAATGATCGGATTTAGACTCAAGTGCGACTAATCTGTCGCACTTGAGTCCATTCGACGCAGATCGCCACGTGTAAATCTTTGTCAGGTTCAATGAATGGGCTACGTGCCATTCACAATTAACCATCCCTGCATAATAGACAAGCGTTAAAAACAATGACATGCCTCACTGCTTCTATAGGGGAAACAAGCCCAAGGCAAATGGAAAGAGATTTCAGCATTTCCTTGGGAACACTTGACAGATTGGCAGATGTTTCGAAATGTTGTTTATTGAAGGTTTCAGTGCAGGAAATGTACACGTTGACAGTCGCCGCTGTAATCATTTCCTGCGGCGGTAACCCTTTTGTGTCGCCTGACTTTCCTGACAGAGATGCACTTATCTGAGCAGCGCTGACAGGCCCCCCGGCTCAGCTTGAACATGACCATGAAGTCTTCGTCGGAGTCCCAACAGGAGACTGAGACCACCTTGGTGAGTCGATACACAAGACAGACTAATGTACCGTATTTTCTGCACTGTAAAGCGATTTCGGATCATAAGGCATCGTCAATGAATGGCCTATTTTAAAACGAGTTCATTTATAGGGCGCATAGAATAGAAGCTACAATAGTGGCTGCGGTTGCGCTAGCATCCACTAGATGGAGCTACGCCAAAGGGAAAACTGTACATGAAACATAGATACAAATGGCATTACAAACCAATAAATGAAAGATAAAAGTTATGTAGATGATTGATTACAAAAAAAAAAGGCACACAAACCTTGTGGGCTCACATCCACAAAGGTCTTGCTTGTCTCCTTCTTCCTTCATTTAGTCAGTAGTTAACGATGCTTTTGGTCTTTTCTTCGTTTCATATTCGCTGCGCAGAGCTCACAAAATACGGTACAGATTTTTTTTTTTTGGACTAAGGCTTTAGAAATGGAAGTAGACGTGATGAATCGATGATTAAAACTGTAAATGTCTAATGCCAAATCCAATACACGCAGTGGCGCTTTGCTATACAAGTTCATTATCCATCAAGTCCATATACTCCCGTTGACGGCGATGATTTCCCTGAACCATTTATTAAATGTCGCGCGTCTGCTCTAGCTCTTCGCTGATGAGACATTGTTTCCCGAAGTCCACTCGATTAGCCAAAACCATTACCTGACAAGTGCTTCTCCCCGACAGCAAAACTTGGCTGCCGTGCACTGCGTAATGAGATCTCAGTGGAAGCAAGGCGAGCGATGCGGTTATACGCGGGGATGCAGATTTATTTTCACGGAAGCAGAAACGACGGCGCATTAGTTGCGAGGACAGTACTGCTTCCATTTTTTTTTTTTTAATGCTTTCACTTTAATGTTATTTTCCCACATATGTTCAAATATCTCATCTTTGTGAAGAACACAATTTGCAAAACCTGGGTTGGCCTTCGCCTCGATCGTGTGTTTCTCTCAGGCAAATTTATGAAAGAGCATAACTCACAATCTATTTCAAGCACTTCCATAAAGTCTCCAATGTGACTGATGGGAGCTCCCAGTCAGCGGCAGCGCATTAAAGGGCCACTTTCTTTATTTCAGCTCCCGGTTTTTGCTGTCTGTCCTTTCATTTCACCTCCACCGTAATCCTCCTGTAGCGGTTTTTTCTCCCCCCCATGTGAGTGGGCGTGCAATTATAATTGCAGATAGCCTGATAACATCTCTCTCAAGCCATCACACACAAAAAAAAAAAAAAAAAAAAAATACACAGTGGGATTATTGGGTTGCACACCCCCAAAGCCCTTCGCCCTTGCTTAGAGTTTTTCAGCTAATTATCAACGCGGACTCTCTTTTCGCGTCTGCGCGATTAAGCCGCTAAAAGGCTCCTGAAAGTCAAAAGCGGCAATGAACTGTTTCTTTTGATCGCCGACCTTTTGAAGAATTTTTATCTGACTGCCCAGGCGATGCCGTGTTTGCGGCGGCATGTTATAAACCTCCTCGCTCATTATGAGCCGCGGCACTGCCAACGCGGTGCGAGATGAAGACGAGGAACGCGTTGTGTCACCGCCTCGACGGGTCGCTTGATATGGAGTCGGGCTGCGGAAATGATGGGCTCTTAAAAAAAAAAAAAAGCTGACAACAGTCTGCCGTTGAGGTGACAGGCGTTTATTATTGATCACTTACCTATAATTATTATTATCCTAAAAATAATCTGTTACCAGTTACATGTCCAATTTTAGCAGCCTCGAATGAAAACGATTTGAACATTTGGTCTGCATAGTTTCTTTCCCGTGTACAGTGAACCCCCCCGCTACGTAGCAATTCATCATTCGCAACGCAAACGGGGGATTGCTATGCAACCGTTCGAGCGGCAGTGCAGCACAGAGCGAAATCAATCAAATAGTACAGGTTGGTATTTTCGCTGCTGTTTGTGTTCTCATCGGGCTGTCCCACATGTCGGTCACATGTTGTCGTTTTACCATCGCAACCCCGATCTGTTGTGTAAATAGCACGGCGAGCAATTATTTACCGAGGAACTGCTTTCCAAACCCTCGGGAACCTCGCTGAAAGTATGACGGCATGTAAAATATCGTTGCTGACACCAACTCCTGCATGTTCCCCAGCAGTCTTCTTTTTTCCACTGTTGACTCCCGAACTGCTCGTGACGACATTTTAGCACCCGCCATTCATCCTATAGCGATGCTAATAGCTATGCTAACACGCTACAGTTGTGTTACACCTTGCCCAAAACCAGTCAGCTCGGATGCTGGAAATCGCAATGGAAATTTACCAGAGCACGATGCAACTTTTTGATCATGTATCTGGGTGAAGCAGCATGTGGTTGGTTGGTTGATGACTCAAAGGTATTCCATGGACAGGACTGTCAGCACAACATATTGGCGGCTGTCACAATGTCACGTTCGACCAACAACGAGGTCCTCCGCCAAATACAAAAAGCTTTCTTGCCATTCATAAGCTCTCATTTTGTTCCTGAGCAAAATCCATTCAAAAAAACAATCCCTAATGTCTCCACAAGGGGATGCAAATTTACAATTCGTAAAACTTGTTTTAAAGGATATCATAATTTTTTTTTCCTTGAGCAAGCAAAACAGAAAATCGATTAAAATCACACACATTTTTTTTTTTTTAAGGCCAATAGCTCAGTCATCCTCTTGGTGTTTCGCAGTGTTTACTATCGTAACAGACGTCAGGGATGGGAAGATGAGCTCCATCCATCCTCTGCTCAATTATTAACTCCTGCTGAGATACTCTCATGCCATTAACAGTTTTTTTTTGCGGGGGAAGGTCATTCATTGACTATTGATTTCATCTTGCCGAATGAATGGCTATCCCTGTTTCGCACCATGTGACGACTTATGTCGAGCTACTCGTCCCATGCTTTGACACGGTTGCGTTGGCGAACGCTAGCCGAGATGGTGAGTGCATTTGCAGCTCGCGATATTGGCGCCGTGAAAAATAACTGCAGCGGGGTTGGTTGCGCTTGTGTCTCTCTCTCCGTGGGCTGATGTGGTCGCGTTTGGTTTATTGGTGCAGAAAAGGCTTCAGTCAACACGAGCGCGAGGAGGCTGTTCCTCGGGACGCATAGGCGCTCCAATAACTACTTCCGTACACAAGACAAGGTCCCGATTGTGGTGTCCACTTCAGCCCTTTTGAACTCATTCACTCCCAAAGACGTTTTTAAACGTCTTTTCAGACTTGGTCTCGAATTGGCTGGTACTGAATGAGTTAAAAACGCTTGTTTCTTCGGCCATGTGGCGCCCTGATGATTTGTATGATGTACCCCCGCCGCCCCACCTTTGACAAAAAAAAAAAAAGCTGAGTCAAAGGCCTGTTTGTGATGTCATAAAGAATCCCAATGAAATAGAACGACGGCAACAGAGCGCCCGGGCAGTGGGTTGTCTTAAAAGAAGAAGAAGAAGGAGGGGTGAGGCAACAAATAAACACGGAAGGACGTTTAGTGACAGAGTGGGGGGGGGGATAAATGAGTGAGGCTCCCTTTCCCTTGTCTCCTCCCCTCAGTTGAAGACTGCTCCGAGCTCGGTCGTAGCGCGCCGCCGCGGCAACAGCAGCAGCAGCAGCAAGCAAGCAAGCTCACCTCCCTCCGCACGGTACGCATTTATTTCTCTTATCTGCCTCTGCGAGGAGGCCCTCGGACATAGCGGCAAACAGGAAATAGTGTGACGGATGTGGAACACCGTTCTTAATTCTGTTCTTGGATCTCTCGCTCAAAATGTTTTGATGGCTTTTCGGGGCTCATTTTGTAAATGGCAGCCTCGTATGCGGTGAATGCAGCGTTGGTCTACAACTGCATTACATGTGCAGTGATCCTGCTGCTGCTGCAAGGTTCTGACTAATAAATTTACCCCAATCAAGGCTATTGGCAGAAGGGACGTTTCTTAGGTCACTTGACAGCTGAGGGGCCATTCATCTAAAGTACAGGCCAGACCCAAGCGCCTTCCACATAGGACCCAGACCTGGTATGATATCTTGGCAGTGATCTTTGTACTTGCAATATTTGCAGACTGCGGTTTAGAAACTTTTATTAAACGTCTTTCCAGACTTGGTCTAGAATTGGCTGGTATTGAATGAGTTAAATTTCCCAGATTCACAGGCAGGCGCAGGACGGAAAACATGCCCCCTTTTAACGCACTCTCCTCGAGTCCCCACGAGGCTTTCGGCTTCATTGAAACAAAAACACTCTTGTAGTGTGTCAAGTGAGAGAAACAAAAAGCGAGGTTTGTAAATAGGCCAAGTAGCATGTTAGTCTTCCGGGGCTGTTATGATGCCTTGTGATTTGATTTAAGGCAACTCGGGTTGGTTTGCTGGAGACACTTGACTGCTCACTTTTTACGTTTTCGTGTACAATTTCTCACAGTTCCTCGGGTCTCGATAAAAGTTTACTCACAGGGATATATTCTTTATGCTCAGCGAAAGGATTCATACGACTGCAGCGTACTGAGCAGTTGTGACCGTCTTTGTGTATACAGTACTGTATAAGCATGTACACTACTGCCCCCTGGTGGCAGAGACTCCCAGACCAAATAATTTAAATGCTTTAACATTTAATTACAATAATATAGTAATGTTACAGTATTTATGTGATTTTTTTCAAATCTATACTGTCTCGTGGTGTTTTGATTATTGTGTCACCACTAATCCCCCCCCCCAGTCACCTTCACATAGCGTCCCGGTGTCTCAGTCCCTTTGCAGGGATGAACCCAATCAGTCGCGGGCTCGCTGCGTGAGGCCACCCACATCATTTAACCCCCCCGCACACTTGTCCCGTTTTGAGGACAGACATGCTGAAACGCTATCGTCTAATGACGTGCGGCGTACGTGACTTAAGAGTGTCAGGTTGAAATTGTCCTTCGCAGCACCTCCATTAACTTCTATTAGAAATGCTGGGAGAGGATGTTTAGTATCTCCTTATGCTAGCACTTGACGTAGCAAGCCGGTGAGTGGGGAAGCAGCGGTGATGTGAACGACTAGGAATAGTCTTGGAATATAGATGACCGTATTTTCCGCACTATAAGGCGCTTCGGAGTATAAGGCGCATTTTCAATTAATGGCCTATTTTAAAACGGTTTTCATATACAGGGCGCATAGAATAGAAGTTACAATAGTGGCCGCGGTTGCGTTATGCGTCCACTAGATGGAGCTACGCTAAAGGGAATACAATACAATACGGCTTTATATCGAGCTTTCGCAACTGCTGCAGCTGTAACAAAGCGCTTTACACAACATTTCTTCGCAGCACCTCCATTAACTTCTATTAGAAATGCTGGGAGAGGATGTTTAGTATCTCCTTATGCTAGCACTTGACGTAGCAAGCCGGTGAGTGGGGAAGCAGCGGTGATGTGAACGACTAGGAATAGTCTTGGAATATAGATGACCGTATTTTCCGCACTATAAGGCGCTTCGGAGTATAAGGCGCATTTTCAATGAATGGCCTATTTTAAAACGTTTTTTATATACAGGGCGCATAGAATAGAAGCTACAATAGTGGCCGCGGTTGCGTTATGCGTCTACTAGATGGAGCTACGCTAAAGGGAATACAATACAATACGGCTTTATATCGAGCTTTCACAACCGCTGTAGCTGTAACAAAGCACTTTAAAGAACATTTAAAATACTATGTCCAAGAAATCAGAATAGTGATCCATATATAAGGGGCACTGCTGGCTTTTGAGAAAATTGACTGCTTTTAGGTGCGTGTTATAGTGCGGAAAATACGGTAATAGGAATGTTGTGTGTGGAATGTGGGGGACTCCCTCTTAAGTAATGTTTACAGTTCTATACTCCATCAATGTATTCTTTCAGGGTCTTCTGAAAAAGTAACACAACAGTGATGACTCATATTTTTCAGTCGCCCCCCCC